CAGAACATTTTGCTGCCTGAGGCAATGTACAAGATGTACAGAGCCAACATCCGATAATCTAATAAGGTTCAGATGTAATGGGCAACAGTGGATTTCCACAATGTGAATAAGCTGCAAAGAGCACAAAATTGTGCTCATATACCCCCTCCTGCTCTCTCACTCTCGCTCTCTCTGTTCACAAAGAAATAGCAACTTTTGCTTCAATTTTTTTTCCTCATGATGTACAGTATCTCAGAACTGCTGTCAGCTTAATCACCAAGAATAAGCCAGTATCAAACTGAGGCTTAGATCCTGTTTTTCCCCACACTAACTAAAGTTTAACATTTAAAGAAAGTCTCAAAAAGCTGTTGACAGATTGTGGATATCACAAGAAACTGTGGTTAGTTTAAAGTCTCCTCTTTCTAGCAAAGAGTAGTGCTAGAGAACCAATGAATCAAGGCTGCCTGGGACACATTCCCAACTAAAAATAATTGTTCCCACTATTACTCCATTGGGCCAATAGGTATCCTGAATCTGACAAATCATCAGTTCAAGGCTGATCCAGAGCATTTTGCTGCCTTAGGCAAAGAACAAGGTGGTTCCTCTTGATCTTTTCAGGCATAAGAGCCAACTAAACTAGCAGTCAATCTGTAAGTTAAACACAGGGGGCAGAACAGCACTTTCTGCCACAGCAGGACAATTTAGAGGGCATAGGGTGTGATGAATCTCACATAACGCTGTCCTCCAAAATATTATCCTTACTCCTTGCTGTTAGCATCTGATACTTGAAATATCTGTTTTGCATAATAGTAGAGCCATCTACTATAACTATTACAGAAGCAATGGAAACATATTCTAAAAGAAGAAACATACCATCCACTGTGAATTATATCTTCTATCACAAAGGATTGCAGGTTGGTTTTGAGCAAAATCCTACATTAGAAACTTGCAACAGAGAATCTTCTAACTCTGACTGAAGTCTCCTAAATGTCCCTCAACACTATGAACTATTAGGGTATTCTTGAGTATAATGATGTGATACAGGTTTGAATTCTGTGCAAAGAGTCAGTAAACCACATTTCTCAGTACTCACATCCTAGTCCCACAGCACTATCATAACACAGAATCATTCCAGCAGGAGAGGAAGGGAACAGCCCCAAGATGTTGCCATGGTGGAAAGTATCTCTCTTAAATGGGGTATTTTGTAACACTTGCCTTGCATGAATTCTGGAAAGTAGAGTTGAGGATCATATTTGTTATTGCTATAAACCTGCACACAAAACCCAATGGATTTTCAAAATTATTGTTCTGCTAGACCACACTCCATGCATATTTATTTAGGTGTCAGTCCGACTGGGTATAGTGGAGTTTACTGTATTTCCATGCAAGCATGCATAAGATTACAACCCATGGACATTTAGCAACTTTCATCATCATAAAAATAGAACAGCAAGTGGAGAAGCAAAACTCCCAAACACCTAACAGGATACAAGGAATAGAAACCTGCTATAAGCCTAAATTGAACCAGAAGCAAAGGGAGACAAATAATGTAAGACAGAGTACAGTTATGCAAAGAAGCAGCAAACTGTGTTTTAAATTGCATATGGAAATTAATGAAGGAATCCAAGTATGGGAGTGACTCAACTTTTGCAGACAAGAACAGAGAGACACTTGTACCAGCTGCATTTCGGAATTCTGCTGAAGAAAAAGAAGAAGGAAATTCTAGCCACTGTAACGGGAAATGTCCAAACCCTTCACTAACAGTAAACAAATGAAATGATGCTCTGTGTGAAATGCAATGCATGCTTGTAACACCATGACCACAGAGGGCTAACAGTCATAGACTGTTCTAAGACACAGAGATAAGGAAAACAGTGACCCTTCTAACAGAAAACTGATAGCTGTCTAAATCAAAAAACTTTTTGCAATGCTACAGAATGCACATCAACAGCAGCAGGTCTCCTAAGAGAGTTCTGAAACTGCACTCTGGGGGTGAGCAGTGGTTCTTTGTATACTTCAGGTAGCTGTCTCTGAAACTACAATTAAAATAAGAGGGAAATGCAAAAAATATATATGTTGACTTTTCCCTCCAAATGTGAGGGGATAGTTTACTCTTACACTTAATTTTAAAAGTAAAATGTCATCAGTTTGCCTCTTGAGTCATGCAAGAAGCTTTTCTCACAACTTTGAAAAAAGCCACTTGTGTATGGTTCTTCCCTGTGTGCACAAATAACTTCACTGGAGAGTGCAGGTGGCTGAGTTTAAATCTAGAAGCTTGTCATTGGATGTTTGTCAAGTGTGCTCCCATGTGGTGGGTGTAGGGCAAGAAAATACAAGTTCACAAAGAACAAGCAGAGTAGTGCTCCTTAATGAGCTGTTGTTTAAGACAATATCATTCACAGAGGAAGAAAACAGAAGGAGGGTTATCAATCAATTGACAGAACTGGTTGTTGTGGGTTTTTCAGCTGTCCTCTGAAGATGCCGGCCACAGAGACTGGCGAAATGTTAGGAAGAACAACTTTGAGAACACAGCCAAAGACCCCACAACAAGCATTAGGTCCCGCGAATAAATTGACAGAACCCTGGAAAACTGATAGTGACAGAATCAGGAAATTTAGAGGCACAAGATCACCTAACCAACTCACTGCATTAAAAAGGAAATTTTTCATATTCGCAGTTAGGCATGATTAGCTGAAGTCACCCAGATTATGCAATGTTACATCAATGGTCAGCTCTAGCATTAGAGACCTTTGGACACAACTCTCTCAGTTTCCCCCTCTCGAATGGGGGGGCATTCAAGTTTAACATCGTACAAATACAGTGAAAGCAAATGGCTAAATCTAATGACAGTCCGAGATGGTGCAGACCCACTGAAATAAAGTAAGACTTGTTACGAACTGGGAATCCATTCCATGTATCCTTTTAAAAACAGCAACAACCAGGAGTTGCAGAGAATTGAGCAGTAGAACGCCCAAGGCAGGCAGTATTGGCTACATGAACTGATCCTTATCTCAGGATCCTCTGCAGGCACCTTCCTCAACTTTCTGCCCTTCAAATATGTCTAACTGCAACTCCCACCACGACCAGTCAGCATACTGGTTGAGGATAATGGGAACCATAGTCCAGCACATCAGAAAGCTTCTCTACAATCATGTTAGCTTCAGAAAGCTGAAGCCAATATGGATTAAGAAAAAGGCAACATTATTTACCCACACACATGGCCAAAGATGGCCAAAGCATTCCAATATGATGTTTTTCACAAAACTTGCACTTTAACACTTGAATGTGGCCTTTTAACCCTAGTGTTCACCATTTCCCCCTATATAATTATGCATGTTAATACATGCACACACACATGCCACTTACCAGATTTATCTACCATCATTAGTTTCCATGGTTTCCATTCACAGAATACAAAAGCTGAGATCCCTGCCTTAGCAGCTCACAATTCAAAAACTGAAGAAACTATTTCACATGCCTGACATGTTCACAAAAGCATATGCCACACTGTATGTCAGATGTTTAAAAGGTGCCACTGGGCTCTACTACCACCAAACTGAAAACATTTCCTGTGCTAAATACAACAGATTACAGTACCAAGTGCTCTGAAGACTCATCCTGAGTCTTCACTCAGTCATCACAGCAAGAATTTCGCAGTTTTCTGTTTTACTCTCTGACCTCACACTCTGTGCAAGCCAGAGCTTAACAAAAGTGCCAAGCAAACTTTCCACTTAATGGAGCTCACCAAGCACATAAAAATAGACAGGCAGACAAAGAAAAGGATCAAGAGCAGCAACTATTCAGCATCATCCTTTGTTTCCGGTTTCTCATGCAGCTCAATCAATGAGGGTCTTTTACGATGAGTTCTTTGAGGACTGGAATCTTTCTATTCACATTTAGATGTATCAGGGTACCCATAGTGAGAATTCAAAACAAAGACACAAAAGAAGTCTAGCTAAGAAACCTGTAAGTTCCATTACCCCTAAACAGTCAGGAAGCACTTGCAGGGATAGCTAGCATAAAACTCTGAAACAGGTGATTTGCTCATTAGCCCTCATGCCTTTTCCTCAAAGTTGTTGCTATAATAATAAAGGGGAAATATTTTTTCTGTTGTCAGGACATTTCATAAAGTTAGCCCATCCCCCTCATTATATTTGTTCCCTTTCACTAATCTCCTACCTTCTGTCTACACCTGCTCACATTTTAAAGTTTTACTAGTACATCTGCACAGCATTTGAAAAGGCACAATGGGAATTAAAACACCTGTTGCTGATATAAAACAATGTATGGGCCCTGCGCCCTGGAAAAACCATATAAGAGTCACTAGCAGAATGTTATCAACTTTACAGTATGAAGACAGAGTAAACCCATGCAGCGTGCATGCTCCTGGGGAAAATCAATTTCTTACAGCAGTACAGTATTTGGAAGACAAACATTACATCCCTTCAAATACAGGTAGAGAGGAGAACTGTGAAAAATGAATTACAATTGTTCTGCAGTTGAGCTTTGTGGGAAAATTTGTATTTTTCTGCCACAAGGAACAATTGTTTTGCAAACATTTCAGAGTTAGAATTCTTTGGGTGGTGAACGACTTTATATTTTCTTCATGCACTGTTAGCTTTGTGCAATTCTATGAGGGAGGAGGAAGAGGGCTAAAATGCACCGTCAGGGCCCAACAATTAGCAGCATTTTCATTCAAAGGTTTGACTGCCACCACTTCCCAAAACCAGGAGAAACACTACAATTGTGTACGGTTTGTGAGGGAGAAGGGGGGGCGAGGTGTTCCCTCCTGACGTGGGGAACATGACACTTGCCAAGGCAGCATTTTCTTAGGCTGATAATGAACATAATCCATTCCTTCTGAAACCCTCTGTTGGGGGGGGGGTCAGATGTGCCCCTGATTTCTGGAAGGGCAAACAAACCATCTTCCCCGGCTCAGCTTCTCTGCTGCCTTCCTTGCGGGGGAGGCGCAGCCACCTCAGAAGGAGGGGGAGGAGGAGTCTCCCCTTTGTCCAACTCACCTGCAGGATTTTATCCAGCCCTTCCTGGCCCAGGCAGGGAAATTCCTCGAGGAGCTTCGTCTTCTTCTGCTTGTAGCCCTCCGACGCGGCTCGCCAGTAAGGCTCCTCCAAGACTTCAAAGATAGCTGCCCCGATGGATAGGTAGAAGATGATGGCGGACGTCAGCAGGGGACCCCTGTCTACCATGGCGGTGCCCAGTGGGGGACGCTCAGCTACAGTGAAAGGTGGAAGCTGGGTTTGGGGATGCGCCTGGGCGGGAGACTCAGAAGCGAAGGCAGCACGGAAGAGCCACGAGCTCCCTCTGGAGAGAATGGCAGGGACCTTCCCTCGCTCCCTAGCTTTCCTTCTTCCCCTGCCTCTGCTTCCCACCCCTTCCTCCTCCCTCTCCTCCCCGGGGGGCCCGTATTTTTATTTTCTTCGCACTTTTGCTCTCCTCCCACCGCCGTCGTCTCCACCTCCTTGTGGCTTCTCCTCGAGCTGGCGTTCCCTCCTTTCCTTTCGCCTTCCACGGTTTGAATTTGGTGCCCTTGTGCTCCCCCACTCGCCTCACCCAGCAGCGCATGCGGAGCGTTTTTCAGGTGGTGGCGGCGGCGGCGGCGGCGGCGACAGCAGTTAAGCGGAGCGCTCTCGTTTTTTCCCGCCTCAGAGACGAAACGAGACTCGTTCAGTCCATCTGCTCCTCCATGTGGCGCGCGCGGTCCTCGCCTGGCAAGCTGCTCAGCTCGCTGGCCGGCGCAAGGGGCCACCTTCGGCGCCACGTCGCGGAGCGCCCGCGCTTTTCTTCCTCCTTTCAGCCCGTGCTCTGCGACCGTCTCGGGACGGCACCGCAGCCCCGAGTGCGCGCAACGCTATTTAGGAGCGGAACGCCCGCCCCGCTGTGTGCCAGCGTGTGGGACGGTCAGGGCTGCCTGTTGCCACCGCCTGGGCGGGGTGAACTGTGAGGCGGTTTAGTGGAGGTGCTTGCTCTTACCTTGACCTGGGTGGAAATGTACGTAAGGAGTCCTGTGTATTACATGCGCGCGCACTCACACACTCACTAGCATGCCTGGGTTCTCACTACGGCCTGAGGGAAAGCTTCGCGCCCTTAGAACTGAAAAAAAATGCAGACGCCCTCCGGTAAAGCGGAGCCGACTCTTCCTGCGGTCTATCCCCAGCCAGGCGGATTATCAGCACTAGGCAGGCTCGTTCCTCCGTTATGGGTGGGCTCTCCCGACATGCCTTTGGAAGGCCCCTTTTGCCCCTCACGCCAGGAAGGGCAGGAGAGGCGCGTGAGCCCCACAAGGATTAGAAAACGCTTCAAGAAAAGCCCCTTTTGTCATCTTGCTGCTCTTAAGAAACACGGTTTGGTTCGGGAGTCTCAAAGGAGACGGCTTTCTTGGTGGCTGTTCCCGGCCTGTGCCCCACTGCGCTGATCTCCCCGCCCCCCCTCCGCTTTTTGTTCCGGCAAAACTTTCGGCGTCTAAACTGGGCCATAGCTGGAAGAGACTGGCCCTTCGTTTACTTGTGTTTTTACTTGTACAGTATTTGGCGAATTCAGTTTTCTTGTGGCGACCGCTTTGAGCTCCAGTGGGGACAGGAAAGGATGATATTCACATAAGACTGATTAAAAAAATAAATAAAATTTGGTCTGGTGGCTTTCGACAGACCAAGGAAATTATTGTCCCTGCTTGTTTGCTGGCCCTTACGAAGGCCTCCTTGTGTTACGCACAGCTGCCTCACTTACTGACCCTTTCCAGGGGGCCAGCAGTGCAAGTTGGGCTGGGTGAGAGTTTTCTATGAGCTAAAGAGGGCAGCATTGAATCCACATTATTATGCACTCACTCTTTTACTTAGAGAGAGGATTGGGTTGAGTAATCAGGTGCAAGAATTAGCTACAGGCTTTGGCCACTTGCTTTCCCTCCCCCCCCCCCTGAAAAGTTCAGTGTGCTTCACCCACCCTTTTTCCTTTAATGACTTAAAGGGGATTGAATCCATCACATCCAGTCTCTTGCTGTGTCTCTGGAAAGGGAGAGCAGCAGAAGAAAGCAAGTGTGATGACCAAGCAGCTGCTTTCAAGAGCAGGTGCTTCACCAATATATGCACTTGAGGTTTCCCCGCCCAGTATGGTGGAGGAACTGGGCACAGTGTGAGCAATTCTCTGCAGCTGTACCAAGTGAGAGGATGACCAAGTGAGCTTGGGTGGTGAGTATTTTCAGGGACAGGAAGTCAACTGAGAGGAAGATCAGAGAGTTTCATGACTCAGATGTCTTTGCACAAGAGACTCTGGTATACACAGGAAATGAAGTCCCTTGAAGAGGCAAAATGCTTTCATTGGTCAGGTTTCTGATGTTCAGTGCACTGATCTAAAATGCATGTGAGACAGGTGATCCCAGTGCTTATGCCTTGTGTTCTAAATGGTAGCTTAGGGCAAGGATCAGTGTGGGCATTCCAGGCCCGTAGCGATCAGTTTGGGACAAACAGTATTTCCTCCCACAAACTCCACCTTGACGCTCCTCCTCTTCTTTCTTAGTGGTGGCAGGTTTGCCCCATTGGACCACTGCTGCTGCAATTCCCCCCCTTCCTCTTTGGGCATGGGATGCAAGAAGCATGTGTGGCTTCATTTGGCATTCAGTCTAGGTCATTGCCTGATAGAACAGGATGGACAGGATGCTGTAGTATTCTCTTTCTTTATAGTTTGTGGGGTGAAGAGTGAATGCCACAATAAAAGTATGTTGGAAAGGTGGGCACTTTGTTTCCTAACACATGAAGAATTCAGGCCACCCCTATGGAGAGTTTCCCTGAAAGTGTGTAGTTTTAAGAGATGTTGCCATTCATTTTTTTTTTAACCACGTCCAGTCAGCTCACCAAATTTTGGCATCCTGGAGCAAAGCCATGGCTCTGCAGACACCACAATGTGTGTGAGAGAACCATTGCTGAAATAAAAGAAGCATCTCTGATCACTGATTGTGTATCTTTTCTCTTCAGTATTTTCCTGCCATTTCTGAGTTAATACTACAGAACTTTTAGGGACTTACCCATATGTATAGTTTGGAAGCCTAATGCCTAGACAAGCCCTTGTATATTTTAAATCATTTTCAGCCTGTTTAGCCCTGCCACTCATTTCTTTCTGTCTGACTTAAGGGTTCTCTTCTTAAATGTGTCATGAAGTTATTTCTGACTCATGATGATCTGAAATTTTTGAAGTGTATGAAATGTTCAAAGAGTGGATTACCATTGCCACCCTCTCCATGAGTTTTCATTGCTGTGCAGGGATTTGAACACAAGTCTTCTGAATCCTAATCTTACACTACACTACCACTCTATATTTGCTCTCAATGACACTGTACTGTCTTTAAACACACTGGCTAAAATCCTGGTTGTCTTTGTAAAGTTACAGCAGCATATTTTTAATGTATCTATTTACATTTTAAAAAATTACCTCACCTTTCGCCTTGAAAAAACCCAAGGTGGCTCAGGGCCCAAGGCGGTTTAGGGGATTACAACCCAGGCAGTTCAGATTGTGCAATTCAATTAACCACAAAACTCCCTTTTCACCCACTGCATGGCCCAGATGCGGAAGTGCTTTGTGAATAACACGTCTGCCCTGCTACTCTTTCTTGTAATGTTATCACAGGTTCAGGGATTCATAAACCAACTTTGCAAATATATCACCTGATAAACATGATATAAAGTACAAAACTAGAGTCATCACAACCAAAATTTGCAATCCAATAGAATTTGGGATTCACCCATTGCAAGTCCAAAATTTGTTCTAGATACAACAAAATAAGTAGACTAACAGTTGTAAACAATATCCCATTGATTTCCCTGAGTCCAGTTTAACAAGGGCTAATATTAGATTTAGCTCCCTTTGAAATGCATGGCGATTTCAAATAAAGTTTCACTGATACCTTGTAATTTTTACTTGTAGGCTGAGTCTTGCTAATGATATCTCCTAAGGCTGCATCTACTTTGTAAATGCATTACTAACTGAACCCTTTTTGGGATAAATTGCATTGGAAAATAAGTACAGCATGGAGAATAATTTAATGGCTGAAACACCTGGAAGACTGGTTTGGATGCAACACATCATCACTCAGAGCTGCTGTGTTCAAAGTCAAGATAACTACAATGTTGTCCAGTCTTGAGTAGAAACAAGAAGAAATAAAGGAAGGAGCAGAAGAAAAAACATACCACCATTCTGTATGAGAGAATAAAAAAACTTCTCATATCCCCACTTAAATATTTAAGCATAATTTACTGTAGGAAAGCGATAGAGAAATGTAAAACAAATATTAATCCATACTTATTTCTGATCATTTCCCTCATAGGCTCTAGCTTAACTCTTCCACACTGCTACCTGTCTGTGTTTCTCTGATTCTGGATTTCTTATACAGTAGGGATCCAGAGGGCATGAGGTGCTTTTTAATTTATTTTTTCTTATGAACAAATATGCATAGAGTGGGGGTTGTAATAACGTTGATTTCCCTTTGTATAAACTCTGCAGAACTAGTACTTTACAAATCTATGCATGCTTTTTCAGATGTAGATAGTACTGTGGCTGAGTTATACATGTTTTGCATGCAGAAAGTCCCAGATTTAAATTGTTATTACTCCAGGAAGGGCTAAGGACTCAGGATAACATTGGCAGTCAACAGAGAAAATACAGAAGTGGAAGGGCAATAGTGCTACTTCATACAAGGTAGTTTTCCAAAAATGGTTTATAATTTTTAAAAATTGTTTATAACTATTTAAGTGTACATAAATATCCAGCCCAACCTTAGTTTAACAATTGGTGTGAGAAAATTATGGCATTTCTTAGACAGCACAACTACCAGATGGATTTGCAGCTGGCTGACCAACCACACTCAACGTGTGGTTCTGAATGGAACTACATCTGTGTGGAGGGAAGTGTGCAGTGGGGTCCCTCAGGTTCTGTTTTGGACCCATTGCTCTTCAACATCTTCATAAATGACCTGAATGAGGGGATTGAAGGAGCACTCATCAGATTTGCTGATGACACAAAGCTGGGGGGAATTGCTAATATTTTGCAAGATAGACTCAACATTCAGAAGGATCTAGACAGACTTGAACATTGGGCCCTATCCATTATGATGCAGTTCAGTGGTGGGAAAAGTAAGGTCCTGCACGTAGGCAGGAGAAACCAGATGCACAGGTAGAGGATACATGGTACCTGGCTTGACAGTAGTGCCTGTGAGAGGGATTTAGGGGTCCTGGTGGACCACTGCCTAAGGATGAGTCAGTAGAGTGCTGCAGCTGCCAAGAAAGCCAACACAGTCCTAGGCTGCATAAGACATAAGACATAAGAAATTTATTTGTCATTGCGCTCACAAGTGGGTGCAACGAAATGAGGTGCTCTTCCCCAAGGTAAAACTGGACAACACTACAAAAAAAAGTTAAAATATGCATCAACAGGGGGATAGCATCAAGACTATGGTAAGTGATAGTACCACTCTATACTGCACTAGTGAGGCCAGACTTGGAGTGCTGTGTCCAGTTCTAGTCACCACAATACAAAAATGATGCCGAGACTCTGGAAGGGATGCAGAGAAGAACAAGAAAGATGATAAGGGGACTGGCGGCTAAATCCTAGGAAGAACGGCTAAAAGATCTAGGTATGTTAAGCTTTAAAAAAAGAAGACTGAGGGGAGACATGATGGTCTTCCAGTATTGCCACAGGGAAGAGGGCATCAATTTATTCTCCACTGCACCTGAGGGTAGGACATGAACCAATGGGTGTCAACTTGTCAGAGGGAGATCCAGCCTGGAAATAAGGAGAAATTTCCTGACGGTGAGAACCATTAAGCAGTGGAACAGCTTGCCTCCCAATGTTGTGGGTGACCCACAGAACAGCTTGCCTCCCAACGTTGTGGGTGACCCGCAGCTAGAGGTTTTCAAGAAAAGATTGGAAGTCATCTGTCCGGGATGGTATGAGGTCCAGGATGGTATCAGGTTTCCAGCCTTGGGCAGGGGTTTGGACTAGAAGACTTCCAGGGTCCCTTCCAACCCTACAATGATTCTATGATTCTATGATTCTTCTCTTCCATCTGTTCCTTTGTATGTTGCCTGTACTCATTGTAAGGGAGTGGTACATAAATATTACATTGTATATAAAACATTGTGTACAACTGACATGAAAATATGAGAAAAAAATCAATTCTGATCCAAAGTTTGTAGAAAAATAAGAACAAAATAGTAGGGTCTTGCAAGGCGACTTGAACAGGAAATGAATTAGTTGATGAATTCAGTGTTTCTAATAGCCAGATAAACAGAGTATGTACATTAACTGTTGACCAAACAAAAAGACAACCCCCCCTC